AACCAATTTGGAAGGGGGATGAGATGCCAATTAGAGATTCAGTAAAACAGAAGTACAAGCATGTCACTCTGGAAGACAGAGTGCGTATCATCAAGTTAATACCCAAGGGAGTGTGGCAAGGCATTTATTTTAATGCAAATATTCTTTATTGTTGGTATCACAGAAATGTTATCAAAACAGGGTCAGCACTAGCAGCCCACATTCCGGAATATAGAATCAATAGGTGAAGTGGGAGTGGAAGAGTGTATAAAAGTGTCACAATATTGATCAAGGACTGAAATAAAGAGGGATGATATCTTCAAAGGTCTCTCAAAATAGGCTAAATGGGGGGGATCAATCAAATTGCACAGACTGTAGCATGGACAGTGAAACATTCAGAGAGAAATACAGAAATGTAGACAAATGTCAGAGATGTGTGACAAAAGAGGGTAACAAGTAATTTATAATTCATCACTAGATTGGCAGGGGGTGGGATTTTAAACAGCAGGGAGGCAAGTGCGAGGCTGGAAGGTGATACAGTAATCAGAAATAGCAAGTTGAAGAGATAGGTCAGGATGGATCAGGACAGGGAGCGAGGAATGCCTGTTGGATTAAATTGCATCTATTTCAATGCAAGAGGGCTGACAGGTAAGGCCGATGAACTCAGGGCATGGATAGGTACATGGGACTGTGATATTATAGCCATTACAGAAACATGGCTAAGGGATGGACAGGACTGGCAGCTTAATGTGCCAGGGTACAAGTGCTTTAGGTGGGAGAGAGGTGGAGGAGAGAGGGGAGGGTAAGTTGCCTTTTTGATGAAGGGGAGTATCACAGCAGTAGTCAGAGATGAAATAACTGAGAAATCATCCAATAAGGCTTTGTGGGTGGAGCTAAGAAATAAGAAAGGGATGGTGATGTTATTGGGGTTGTACTATGGGCCCCCAAACAGTCAACAAGAATTAGAGGAACAAATATGCAGGGAGAGTGGGGAGATTTGCAGGAGCAATAGGGTTGTCATGATGGGTGATTTTAATTTTCCTAACATAGACTGGGACTGCAATAGTGTTAAAGGCTTAGAAGGGGTGGAATTTTTTTGACGTATACAAGAAAGTTTCCTTAAGCAGTATATAGAGGATTCTACCCGAGAACGAGCAAAACCTGACCTACTTTGGGAAATAGGGTAGGACAGGTGACTGAGGTGACAGTGGGGGAGCACTTTGGGATCAAGGATCATAGTTCTATTAATTTTAAAATAGTTACGGAAAAAGATAAAACTGGTCCACAGGTTCAAGTTTTAAATTGGGGCAAGGTGAATTTTGATGGAATTAGGCAGGAACTTGCAGGGGTTGATTGGAATATTTTTTTGCAGGCAAAGGGACCTCTGGCAAGTGGGAGACTTTTAAAAGTGTGATAGCTAGAGTTCAAGATCTTTATGTTCCTGTGAAGGTAAAGGGCAAGGTTGGCAGACATAGGGAACCCTGGATAACAAGAGATATTGAAGCTTTGACCAGAAGAAAAGGAGGAGGCATGGCTCAGGAGCAGGCAGCTGGAATCAAGGGAATCCCTGGAGGTTTATAGGGAATGCAGGAGTTTACTGAAGAAGGAAATCAGGAGGACGAACAGGGGGCATGAGATAGCTTTGGCTGAGAAGATTAGGGTGAATCCAAAGATATTCTTTAAGTATGTTAAAGAAAAAAGAATAACTAGAGAGAGAATAAGACCCCTTAAGGACTAAAGTGGACATATATGTGTGGAACTGCAGGAAACGGGCAAGGTCCTCAATGAATATTTCTCCTCTGTGTTTACCATGGAGAAAGACATGAAGACTTGGGAAAGTTAGTGGCAATATCTTGGGGACAGTCCATAATCACAGTACGGGAGGTATTGGAAGTCTTAGAATGTATGAAGGTGGATAAATTTCCTGGTCCTGACCAGGTATTTCCAAGAATTATGCAAGAGGCTAGGGAAGAAATTGCGGGGTCCCTGGCTGATATATTTTCATCATTGTTAGCCACGGGTGAGGTCCCGGAAGACTAGAGTGTAGCGAATGTTGTGCCCTTATTCAAAAAGGGCTGCAAAGAAAATCCTGGGAATTATAGACCAGTAAGCTTAACATCTGTGGTAGGTAAGTTACTTGAGTAGATTCTGAGGGATAACATATACATTCATTTAGAAAGGCAGGGTTTGATTAGGAGTAGTCAGCATGGCTTTGTGCGTGGGAGATCATGCCTCACAAATTTGTTAGAGTTCTTTGCTGAAGATGAAGGAAGGATGATGAGGGCAGTAGACGTAGTCTATATGGATTTCAGTAAGGCCTTTGATAAGGTTCCACATGGTAGGCTGCTCTGGAAGGTTAGATTGCATGGAATCAGGGAGAGCTGGCAAATTTGATACACAATTGGCTTGATGGTAGGAAGCAGAGAGTAATAGTGGAAGGATGCTTGTTGAATTGGAGGTCTGTGACTAGTGGTGTGCGTCAGGGGTCGGTGCTGGGCCCATTGCTGTTTGTTATCTATATCAATGATTTGGATGAGAATGTACAAAGCGTGCTTGGTAAATTTGTGGATGACACAAAATAGGCAGTATCGTGGACAGTGAGGAAGGTTATCAGAAATTGCAGCAGTGGGCCAAGAAATGGCAAATAGGGTTTATTATGGATAAGTGTGAGGTGATGTATTTTGGAAAGTCAAATCCAGGTAGGGGTTTCATGGTGAATGGTAGGATCTTAAGGGGTGTAATGGAAGAGAGGAACCTTAGAGTTCAGGTGCATGGTTCTCTGAAAGTGGAGTCACAGGTAGACAGGGCAGGGAAGTAGGATTTTGGCACACGGCCCTTGACCAGTCAGAGTATTGAGTATAGAAGTTGGGAAGTTATGACGCAGTTGTACATGACGTTGGTGAGTCTGCACTTGGAGTATTGTGTTCAATTTTGGTCACCTTGCTATAGAGAGGATGTTATTAAACTTGAAAGAGTGCAGAAGAAATTTACAAGAATGTTGCCAGGACTCAAGGGGCTGAGTTACAGGGAGAAGTTGAACAAGCAGGGTCCTTTATCTTCAGAGCGTAGGAGACTGAGGGGCATCTTATAGAAGTGCATAAAATCATGTGAGGCATGGATAGGGTGAATGCACTCAGTTTTTTTTCCCAGGGTTGGGGAATTGAGGACTAGAGGGCATCAGTTTAAGGTAAGAGGGGAAAGACTACATGAGAACCTGAGGGGCAACTTTTTTTACACAGAGGGTGGGTATGGAATGAGCTGCCAGGTGAAGTGGTTGAGGTGGGTCCATCAACAACATTTAAAAGGCACTTGGACAAATACATGAATAGGAAATCTATAGAAGGATATGGGCCAAGTGCAGGGAAATGGGTTAGCGTGGATGGACATTTTGTCTGGTACAGACCAGTTTGGCCGAAGGGCCTGTCTCCGTGCTGTAGGACTCTATGAACTCTATGACTAGGCAGAATACGAGAAGATTAGAGGGAGTCCAAATCTTAAAATCTATTCAGGAAAACCTTAGAAAATCCTATTACAATGATATGCAGGTGGAAGAAGTGAGAGTGAGGGAGTATTTACATAATAGTGATCAGAATGGTCATTATGGAAGAGGACAAAGATGAGAATGGAAACTGGACAAGGGACGATATTCAATGTAGAGAGTTTTATTCACATGACTCAGGAGAGTGTTGGCCAGAAGTCATTGCAGACATAGAATCCATACAGCATGGAAACAGGCCCTTCGGCCCAACAAGTCCACACCGACCCTTGGAGCATCCCACCCAGACCCATCTAATCCACTTAATCTACAGACCCCTGAACACCATGGGCAATTCAGCTTAGCCAATCCATCTAACCTGCACATCTTTGGACTGTGGGAGGAAACCGGAATACCCAGAGGAAACCCACGCAGACACAGGGAGAATGTGCAAACTCCACACAGACAGTCACCCGAGGGTGGAAATGAACCCGGCTCCCTGGCAGCAGTGCTAACCACTGAGCCACCGTGCCGCCCTAACAGACTAAGAAGATTTACAGCAATTACTGGTAGCTTCAGTTGGAAACTCAGACAGATCTGGCTATGGCACCTGTTCATTTTTATAACAAAATTTAACTTTCTGAACTTGATTCATTTCCAAGATATTAGAGTTTCATAAATTCATTTATATGTTGTTTTGTGTTTGATTTCTCCTTTCTCTGCTTTATTTAAGAATTTATTCTGGGGAACATATTTGCATAGTTCATGAATGAATGCAGGCAGTATCATTGATCAGCCAAGTGCAGTCCATTAGCGTAATATGGAGACTGAAACTATGCACAATACTCCCAATGGATGTACCAAGTTATCAGGACCAAAAACTGTGGGAAGAGCACCAAAGGTGAAATATGAAAGATACCTGGAGAGTAAAACTCTAGAAAAATTTCAGCATGGTCTTACTGAGTTGTATTGAGAATTCAATTGTTGAAATCACTCCAAGTCTTGTCTAGTAAAGGTATATTGTAAGAGGACTGGATACGATGGGAATGATCCTACTTATACCATACATTATAACCAGGAAGAAGCCTTATGTGACTCTACAGGAGGAAATTAGCATCAAATAATTGGACACAGAAACATATGAATTACTAATTGGATACTGCTGACCAAAGCGCAGCTTAAAACAATTGGTTTTAGGAATGGAATGAAATGACATAATTACAGATGGCATATTACTATAGAGACACCAGAATCTGGAATTGTTTCAGAGGGGAGAATATTTGACAATTTATTTACAGCCTAGAGCATTTCGTGGTTTACTTTTTTTTATCTGCAAGAGGTTCTATGGGGGGTCAGTATCACTCATCTGAAACCATGTTCATCCATTGCACTTATTCACTCTGCCCTTTCTGGTTACCACACTGCCATTGTTGAACTTCCCCTTCCCAGGTGCAGTCGATGTTTGTCTCAAAATGTGTCCCGGGGAACAGACCATAGAGCACAGAGTCATGCGTCACAGGGTTGCTAAGGACGAACGTCGACAAAAACCGATGCTTCTTTCTCCAGACTTCCAGAAGGAGATGTGTGACAGTCTTCACCCCACTGCAGCTGTTTTGAGGGCAGCATGCAGTGACACAGACCAGTTCTGCTTTGTTTACTCTTTTACTGTCACTTCTGTTGATTGTCTGCAAGTGAGGCTTCTTTTGTTATAGTTTAAAACTGTACATTGACATGAACTGCATGAGACCAGATAACTTTTGGTTCAGATTTTACAAACTGCAGGCTGAGCTGCAGATAATTTTTCAGCGGCAGCAGCGACAGCCAGAGTGCCAGCAGGAAGGTAAGGTCATTTTTTTCTCCAGTATAAAAACTTACCTCGTGCAGCAGCGGCCCTCTTGTTTTTTTCTCCAGTATAAAAACTTACCTCGTGCAGCAGCGGCCCTCTTGTTTTCCGCAGCGGGCGTGTGGAAAGAACACGAGCCAGTAAGGAACTGATATATTCGGGCATTGGCTAAACCCGAAACACTACACGTGTAGTGTCTCCCACCCATCCCCCTCCTCTAACCAATAAAAAAGACTGTGTGGAGGGTCGGTTAGGTAAGGCTTTTTTTTTAAATTCTTCTGGAAATCTAGCATAGTGGGGATGGTAGCTAGGGCAGTTGCATGCTCCTCTTGCAGGATGTGGGAGGTAAGAGTCACTGCTGGTCTCTCCTCTGACTTCACCTGTGAGAAGTGCACCCAACTCCAGCTCCTCAAAAACCGCGCTAGGGAACTGGAGCTAGATAAACTCCAGATCATTCAGGAGGCTGAGGAGGTGATAGAGAGAAGTTATAAGAAGGTGGTCACACCCAAGGTACAGGAAAAAGGTAGCTGGGTGACTGTCAGGAAGGGGAAAGGGGATAGGCAGACAGTGCAGGGATACAGTGTGGCCGTTCCCCTCAATAATAAGTATACCATTTTGGATACTGTTGGGGGGGACGATCTACCAGGGGAAGGCCATAGTGGACAGGTCTCTGGCACTTGACCCTGGCCCTGTGGCACAGAAGGGAAAAGGGGAGAATAGGAGAGCAATTGTAGTGGGGGATTCGATAGTAAGAGGCACAGACAGGCGGCTCTATAGACGCGAATGAGATGAACGGATGGTATGTTGCCTCCTGGGTGCCATGATATTTTGGATCGTGTCTTCAAGGTCGTTAAGTTGGAGGGTGAGCAACGAGCATGTCATGGTACACATTGGTACCAATGGTATAGGTAGAAAAAGGACAGAAAATGTGTAAAATGAGTACAGGGAGTTAGGGTGGAAGCTGAAGTCCAGGACAAACAGGGTAGTTATCTCTGGATTACTACCAGTGCCACGTGATAAAGAGGTAAGAAATAGGGAGAGAGTGCAGCTAAACACGTGGCTACAGGGCTGGTGTAGGAGGGAGGGCTTCCATTATGTAGATAATTGGAGCACATTCTGGGGAAGGTGGGACCTGTACAGTAAGGACAGGGTGCACCTGAACCGGAAGGGCATAAATATCCTGGGAGGGAAGTTTGCTCGAGCAATACGGGATGGTTTAAACTAGATTGGCAGGGGGTGGGGAACTGGATTTATAATTCAGAGGATGAGGTATTCAGCCTTCCAACGGACACAACAGGGAGTGAGGTTGTTTATAAAAAAATGCAGTCGATGGAGCGTAATTGTGGAAAAAGAGATGGTTTGAGGTGTGTGTACTTCAATGCTAGAAGATGAACTGAAAGCATGGATCGGTACTTGGAACTATGCTGTTGTGGCCTCACAGAAACTTGGGTAACTCAGGGAGAGGAATGGTTGCTGGAAGTTCCCGGAATTTAGATGCTTTAAAAGAAATAGGGAGAGTGGAAAAAGAAGCAGGGGAGAGGCATTGCTAGTCAGGGCTAGTATAGCAGCTACTGAAAGGCAGTTCGAGAATGATATGTCTGCAGAGTCAGTTTGGGTTGAGGTCCAGAACAAGAAAGGAGCAGTCACTTTGTTGGTTTTTTTTTTTGCAGAGAAGTAGAGGAGTGTATTGGCGGGCAGATACTTGAAAGGTGCAGAAGTCACAGGTTGTAGTTATGGGTGACTTCAACTTTCCAAATATTGATTGGAAACATTTTAGTTGTAATAGTTTAGATGGAGCAGATTTTGTCCAGTGCGTTCGGGAATGATTCCTGACATAATATGTAGATAGACCAACACGAGGAGAGGCCACTTTGGATTTGGTGCTTGGCAATGAACCGGGCCACGTGTTAGACCTGTTGGTAGGAGAGCATTTTGTGGGAGTGATCATAACTCTGTTACTTTTACAATAGTTATGGAAAAGGATAGGTACATACAGCAGGGTAAGGTTTATAATTGGGAGAAGGTTAATTAAAATCATCTTAGGCAAGAACTGGGTAACATAAATTGGGAACAGATGCTGTCAGGGAAGGGCACTATTGTAACGTGGAGATTGTTTAAGGAATGCATACTGCGTGTGCTCAATATGTTTGTCCCTAGAAGTCAGGGAAGATGCGGTCGAGTGAGGGAGCCTTGGTTCTCAAGAGAGGTCGAACAACAGGTTACGAGGAAGAAGGATGCTTATGTAAGGTTTAGGAAACAAGGAACGGAAAAGGCTCTAGAGGGATACAAGTTATCCAGGAAGTAGCTGAAGAAAGACCTTAGGAGAGCTATAAGGGGGCATGAGAAAACCTTGGCAGATAGGATCAAAGAAAACTCCAAGGCTTTTTACACGTACGTGAGGAATAAGAGAATGACCAGAGAAAGGGTAGGGCAGATCAAGGATTGTGAAGGGACTTTGTGCACAGAGCCTAAAGAGATAGGAGAGGTCCTTAATGAATACTTTTCTTCGGTATTCACAACTGAAAGGGACCAAGCTGTAGAGGAGGGCAGTGTGAAACAGGCTGGTAGGCTAGAGGAGGTCAATGTTAGTAAGGAAGATGTGCTAGGAATTTTGAGGAAGTTGAAGATAGATGAGTCCCCCCGGGACTGATGGGATTTATCCAAGGATTCTATGGGAAGCAAGGGAAGGGATCACAGGGCCTTTGGCGATGACCTTTTCGTCCTCGCTGTACACAGGTATAGTGCCAGAAGATTGGAGAGAGGCAAACGTCATTCCCTTGTTCAAAAAAGGGAATAGGGATAACCCCGGAAATTACAGGCCAGTTAGTCTTACATCAGTGGTGGGCAAATTATTGGAAAGGGCTCTGAGAGATAGGATTTCTGATCACTTGGAAAGGCACAGTTTGATTCGTGATAGTCAGCATGGATTTGTGAGGGGTAGATCATGCCTCACAAACCTTATTGAATTCTTTGAAGAGGTGACCAAACACGTGGATGAAGGTAGAGCAGTGGATGTGGTATACATGGATTTAAGTAAAGCGTTTGATAAGGTTCCCTATGCATACAGTTCCTTCATCTAGATCATTAATGTACAAAGTGAAAAGTTGTGATCCCAGCACTGATCCTTGCTGAATTCCACTTGTCACCGGCTGCCATCCTCAGAAAAACCCTTTTATCCCCACCCTCTGCTTTCTGCCAGACAGCCAATCTTCTATCCATGCTAGCACCTTGCCTCTAACACCATGGGCCCTTATCTTACTCAGCAGCCTCCTGTGTGGCACTTATCAAAGGCCTTCTTAAAGTCCAGGTAAATAACATCCATTGGCTCTCCTTGGTCTACCTTGCTCATTATTTCCTCAACGAATTCTAGCAGATTTGTCAGGCATGACCTCCTCTTGATGAAACCATGCTCACTTTGCCCTATTTTACTATACACTTCCAAATATTCGGCAATCTCATCCTTTACAATGGACTCCGAAATCTTACCCACGACTGAGATTAGGCTAATCGGCCTGTAATTTTCTGTCTTTTACCTTACTCCATTTTTAAACGGGGTGTCACTTTAGCAATTTTCCAGTCCCCTGGGACCCTCCCTGAAAGTTCACCACTAACACTTCCACTATTTCTTCAGCTATCTCCTTCAGAACTCTTGGGTGTAGTCCATCTGGTCCAGGTGACTTGTCCACCTTCAAGCCAATCAGTTTTACTAGCACCTTTTCCTTGGTGATGGCCACCATACTCAGCTCTGCCCCTGGCTCTCTTGAATTTTTGGGATATTACTCGTGTCTTCCACTGTGAAGACTGTCTTTCCTGCTGGGCTCCTCTTCCAGTCAATTCTGCCCAGCTCCTCCCTCTTACCTCTGTAGTCACCTTTATTCAGCTGTAATACCGTTACCTCTGATTCTATCTTCTCCCTCTCAAATTGCAGAGTAAAGTCTATCATCTTATGATCACTGCCTCCTAAGGGTTGATTTACCTTAAACTCACTTATCAAGTCTGCCTCATTGCACAACACCACATCCAGTATTGCCTGTTCCCTTGTGGGCTCCACCACGAGCTGCTGCCTAAGTTTTAAGGTAGCTATGAATAAGGGTAAGTCAGAACCTTGCTGGAAGGTACTAAATTGAGAGAGGGCAAATTATATCCGTATTAGGTAGGAGCTGGGGAGTGTTAATTTGGAGGAACTGTTACAGGAACTGTATAGTGAGGGGGGGAGCATTGTTCTCTGAAGCCAAGTGTGGGAGTCCAAAAGACTGTATCAGGGCTCTAGATATCTTTTCGGAGGTGGAAAGGAACTTGCACTGGGAGGGAAGACCTGCTGTTGTGATCTTTAAAAGGATCTGTGTCTGGGGAAGAATAAGAAAATGTGGTCTGTGCAGTCAACACGAGGAGTTAGGCTATGAACTAGGAAGCAGAACCTCAAAGTTCATAAGTTCTGCATTATTACATGAGCCATTAAAACAGACACAGGTCATATCTGATGAAAGAAACAAATGTGTTTCCCAATATCTGATGTGAGATAAAGAAATGGGTCCCAGTTTGTGGACTACTGGAACCAGTCTTAGTGAAAGTGCAATCTATACCTTTGGGCTAGTTGAGACTTGAATTGTGCTGGGGTTGGTATCCTTTCTGATGTTGTTAAGAGAGTATTGTAGGGGAATTTAAACTAAATAGTAGGGCAAGAGATCAAAGTTGGCTGCAGCCCCACTCTCACTCTCTTCCTTGTTTGGGTCCTTTCACACCTCCACTATGTTTGGCTAGGAACAGACTGCAGCTTCATTCCCATTCCTGTCTCCTGTCAGGCCCCCGACCCACTCCAATTCTGTTCCCTACTAACAGGCACTGAGATTCATAGATTTGTAGATTCATAAAGTGCAGAAAAGAACATTCAACCCATCGAGTCTGGACCGATATAACGATCACTAAAAGTGCACTTACTCAATTTCGTGCACTTTGTCCCATATCCATGAATTTCGTGATATTTGAAATACTCATCC